CCGCGCCGCCACCCGGCCGCATGTCGTGGCCAACGCTCATCGCCCTCCCGCTCGGCCTCCCTGCGCCCGCCGGGCCAGGGCTCCGGTCAAAGCCAGGACAAGTACATCCGCAACGGCGGCGCGAGCTCGCCGTCGCGGTCACGAGTGCCAGGCGGTCTCCGCTCGCATCTGGTGCTCTCGCCGCAGCCGCTGGGCGCCGGCGCGCGAAGGGTCCTGCCGCCGGTTCCGGCCGCCGGCCGTGAGCCTGGACCTGGCGATGGCAACGCGGTCGTGCCGGATCACGCGGCGCTCGATGCGCTTGCCGAGGCCTTTGAGCTCGTTCTCGTGGATGGCGCCGGGAAGCCTGTGGCGTCGTCGACAGCTGCTGCGCGTGTGGCGGGAAGGAGTGCGGGCGGGAGGCCACTGACGTCGGGCCACGACGCGCTTGTTGTCGTGGCCGCCGAGTCGGCGCACCACCCGGTCCATTCTGCGACGCAGGCGCTGGATCTAGCTGGACTTGGCGTCTCTGGCGCAGTTGAGCTGTGGACGGGCGCCTCGTTTGACGGCGAGGCGTTTGCGGCGCATGCAACGGCGTCGCGACATGCGCTCGAGAGCCACGGGCGGGGCGGGCACTCGGTGCTGGCGTTTGTGCCGCCGGCTCACGTCGACGCCTTTGCCACTCGCTACGAGTATCTCAAGAACAGGGTCGGGCTTGCAGTCATCGAACTTGTGACCAAGCTCTCGTCGCGTTCAGTGGCGAGCGAGATCCGGCTTGACAAGGTTGTGGTCGAGCTCGGCATTCGCGAGCGCGATGCCTTTGCCGGGCGCGGGCTTAGCGAGGGGCTTGGCGACATAAGCATAGAAGAGGAGCTGGTGCGGAAGGCCGAGCTCCGCGAGGCACTGTTGGCCGAGCAGAAGGCCGAGAAAGCGCGGCGCGAGATGCTGTTCCAGAAGGAGCTTGAGCGGGCGCGGTCGGAGAAGAAGGAGCTGGTGCGGGCGACCGAGGAGCACGCGTTGTTGGCGCTGTCGATGAGCGAGAACGCAGACCTCAAGCAGCGGCTGGCGGCCGTCGAGAAGATCAACTCTGATCTGGAACAGCTGTCGAGCTCAGTGGCCGGCGAGGCCGAGCGCAACCGGGAGCTGATGGAGCAGTGGTATGACGCCTTTGCGCACCATCAGGAGCTGTTGGAAAAGGCCAAGGACGAGAAGAAACGGTCTGTGGCGCTGGAGAAGCAGCGCGCCGAGCGCGAGCGCATGGAGTTGAAGCTGAAGGCACTGAAGGAGCGGACCGATGCTCAGCGGGCGCTGGCGCGCGCCAAGGAGGAGCAGCGCGAGCGGACCGCCGAGGTCCGCCGCATTGCAGCCGAGAAGGCGCGGATCGAGGCTGAGAAGCGCGAGGCCGAGAAGCGGGCCGAGGTCCAGCGGAGAAAGCTGGAGCGTCAGCTTGAGCTCGAACTCGAGGCCAAGAGCCAGCTGTCGACGTCGATGACTCGGACAGTGGGTCGGGTGTTCAAGCTCGCCCAAGACGACCTCAAGCTCCGCAAAAAGTCCGAGGAGCGCTCGACCGAGCTTGCTGCTGCCATGCAAGCCGAGAAGGAGCGCAAGTTGGAGATCGAGGCGCGGATGGCAGCGTACCAGGAAGAGATTGTCCAGCGCGACGATGCCCGCGAGCAACTGCTGCAGCTCAAGGTCGAGATCGGTATTGCAGTCACCAACCACAATTATGTCAAGAAGCGGCACGGGCCGCAGGGAGAGCTCATCAAGGACGTGACCAAGGCTGTCAAGATTGTCTCGGTCCACGAGGGCGGCCCGGCCGAGATTGCCGGCCTCCGTGCTGGTGACATTGTGCTCAAGGCCGGCAACATTGAGGTCGTTGACCGCACTGCTTTTCTCCACGTCCAGCACGCCGCCTTTGTGGGCGAGACTGAGATCTTCCGCGTCATCCGCAAGGGCACACCACTCAACATCCGCGTCCAGTATGGCGCTGTCGGCAAAACGCTCGACGAAGTCATCGAGCTTCGCGACCGGGCTGGCGAGGCTTGGTGCGAAGCGCGCGACTCGGCCATCGACGACGTGTCTGATCTTGGCCGGCAGCTGCTGATGCTCCAGCAGAGCCACGATCAGTAGAGTAGAATAGTATCTGTCCACGTAGCCGCATCCGTGGCGCGCGGCGATGGGTGCGTGTGTGTGCGCGCGTGTGTGTGTGGTGGGGGTGGGGGGGGGGGGGTAGGGGTACGGGTCGGGTCCGGACCGTAGGTCGGTTACGGGTT